TTTTTTTTTTTTTTTTTTTTTTTGGGTTCCTTATATGGGCTAACAATTGATTTTGATCCGTGAATTGGCAAATTTAACTTTTGCAGCTTATAAATGATATTGTAACAAAAAAAATGAGTCGGAAAAGAATCTTAAAAATTGTAATTTCATTCTAAGTTGCGGTAATTTGTTAATTATTGTCATTATAAGTTTATATATTAACTAGTGGGATTAATTTGTCAATTTTAGAGGTATAGTTTTGAGAACGTCCAAATTGCAAGATTGCTTTTTTCAAACATCCCATTATTATTTTTTTTTGGGGGAATTTTTCCGCTAGGATCTATCTTTTCTAACTATTGGTAGTTAATGTATTAACTGTTGGTTTATATTTTTTACATTTTGGATTGTAATTTTAACAACTTGTGTTGCGCTATAAATTTTTAACATATGCACTCACACATGAAATTCTAAAGTTTAAAAATAATAATTACCGGTAGTTTATTAAAAAAAAAAAAAATGACAACAACAAAAAACAAAAACGAAAAAGATCCTACCATACAAATTCCCTTATTTTTAAGCTAAAGGAAGGAGCGTGTTACCTTTCGCATCTTCAAAAGTTCTCGACTCGTTTTCATTGTTTTTTTGTCCTCTTGTTCATAATTAATCTTCCTAGGATCTTTTCATCTATTTCTAAAATTTGTTGACAATGTCTTTTGATGATATAAAATCGAATCTCTCTACTTGAATTCCACCACATAAAAAAAAAAGGGAAAAAAAGAAAGAAAGTGACAAACGAGGTTTAGACGTAGTGGAGAAAATATCTTAAAACTTTAATACTAGTACATGGCTTTTTTTTTTTTTTTTTTGACGTATAGTACATGGCTTTTGCCTACATACAATTTTTGCAAATTCCCACATACTCTCTCGCATACATTTTCATCATTATTCCTTGGATAGTTCATCATAATACTAATAATAGTATAGCAGTATCCGTACAAGACCAAAAAAAATTCAAGTACGGAACACTAAATTCTCTCCCTAGCCAAATATTAAATCCAAACCAAAATGGGAAGCCTTGTGATGTGACAACCTTTTTTACACGTCATAGCCATATATCACACTACTACTAGGAATGGATAAGGAAGCTTAATTAAGCTGAATAGCTCCACAGCGACACGTCAGCATAAGCCTCCACGTCATCACTACTATAGTCATGTTCCATACAGTGAGGTGGAGGCAACAGCATCCCCTCCGCCATGTTTGTGAGCAGCCCCGGCATCCCAAACACCGCCTCCTCATCCATAAAAAACACGTTATCCGATTCCGCCACCGCCGCGTCAGCCGCCGGCTTTTCTCCCGTGTCGTCCGCCATGTCCACGGGACGGAACGCCTCCGCGGCCTCGGAGGCCGCCTTCTGGATGTCCTTGGCGTCCGCGGAGGCCGGAACCGGGCAGCCGCCAAGCCGAGTCGGCGAAGTTGAGGCACGTCGAGCGTCCCCTAAGCGCAATGGCCGCCACGTCGTGCGCCCGCGCCGCCATCTCGGCCGTGGGGAACGTCCCCAGCCAAATCCTGGTCTTCTTGTTGGGCTCCCTCACCTCACAAACCCACTTACCGGAGTTTCTCCTCCTTACGCCGCGGTACACCGGGTGCCGAGTCTCCTTGAACTTCTTCCGACCGGCCCGCTTCTTCGGACAGCTCGAAGCCAGCACGACCTCCTCGTCGGAGAAGTTCATCCGGCGACCACCGCTGTCGGATGGAGACATCGAATCCGACGCCTCAAACGTCCATAAATCAGACGCACTAGAGTACTGATTGTACTCCGAACTCGAACAGAAGGCATCCATGAATGAAAGCAGCAAAGTAAGTAAACTAGTAAGTAAGTAAAGTAGGAGGTAGTAGTTTAAAGTAGTAGACGCTGGAGTTGAGAGATATTATAAGCTGGTTGGATTCAGGTATTATAAGTATAAGAATATTATATATGAGTGAGCATTTCGTAAGAAAGAATAGTTAAACACGGTTATGGTGATGATAAGGAGCCAGGCTGGGAAGTAGAAGTGTCCCACGGTTTGGACGAGTAGTTTAAGATTTTGGAGGTGGCAACTGCTCAACTGTTACATTATGTGTGGGGGGAAAGTTGAATGGGTCCAGGACCAGCTGGTTTAAGCCGAGTGGCCAACTAGACAAGTTGTGGGCTTTTGACATGTGTCCTAATCAATTTTTGACCATATTACATGTATGGTATATATATATACATATATAAATATTAATTAATATATTATATGTGTCAATTTTATATGATCTTGGAGTAGGGTATTTGACTGGCCTTAGTGGATGTATCTGAGTTGGGTCAAGTCAAGGGTCGGTCTCACTCTCTGTCATATATATATATATATATTTGAGAAAAAACACTGTATAGAATCATGAATCATGATTCAAAATCATAGATGAATAAATGAAATAAACGTCTCATTTGTTGAGTTCTAGTGATTAGTCTTACTTCAACATTTATGCTCAGCCCTTTTTTTTGGGGGGTACTAGATCGTTTTCTTGAAATGCGAATAACACGAGAAAAATATATATCCATGGATGAACACTAATTGTGATAACTTTGGGATAATTACATGAATATATTTTATTATTTTATTTTTCCACTATTTATCTCTCTGGATTTTTCAAAGTACAAAAGTATTTAGTAAATTTGGGAAATATGTTTCAATTTTATCTCTTACACACTTTTTGGACAAACAAGTGTAAAGAAAGGACAAAAGCACCCTTAAATAGTTTCTAAAAAAATATTTAAAACACAAACAACATCAAAACATAAAACGACTATATGTGTTTTAAAAAAAGAGGCAATGATTGGCTCATAATGTTTTTAAAGAAAAATATAAAAGTTTCTTATTTTTTTTTAAAAATATTTGTGTATTTTTATCTTTTTTGTTCCAAAAAAGTGTAGAGGGTGAAATTGAAGTTTATTTTTCAAGTGTAAAGGATACTTTTCTAGTTTTATAAATAGATAGATAAATTGAGGGAAAAAAATGAACCATTTATTAGTATATGAGATCAAATAAGAGTTCTTGATTATAAAATTTAAAATTTAAATTGTTTATAAGAAAAAAATACTGTAAAAAAAATTAAAGATGTGAATTTACACGGTAATAGAACTCATAAAATAAATATATGACTCGTTTAGTTCGTTAATTCGAATTAAGATGTGACTTATGTGAGAATTTTTTACTGTAATAAAAAATTAAATATAATTATTTTTTAAAATTTTTTATTATAAAAAAACTTAAATTTTAAATTAAAATTAGTGAAATGAACGATTATAAACTTTAATTGAGTACTTGCCGAGGAATTGACGATTAATACTGCGAACCGGAAAGTATGACGGGCTAGTAATATGATTCAGCGTGGTGAGAAGGCAGTTGGAAGGTTCTGAAAGACAGAAGGACGGGATTACGTGGCACAAAACCAATTTAAGAAAAGTACGGAGAGACAACTTTCGAGAATAACGTCACACAAACACGGTTGACAGTTAATAACCGCTTGTTGTATTTCTCTTATTATTTATTTTTATTTATATATATTAAAATTCAAGAGAGATTTCGAAGACTAAAAAGCCGGTGGTTTTTCCGCGGAAACGCGTGGGTTGGTAGTTTCCCTTTACACAGAAAAATCACCCTCCTGGGTCCCACCCTAAAGATTTTCATTCTATTTTCTTCTTCAGGTCCCACTTATCTTGTATGATTTTTCATAAACAATTGAATTCATGATATTGGCCAACCGAGGAAGTTGGAGAGGAAAGCGACGATGTCCTTATCTTTGGCACAACTTTTTTTCTTTTTTTCCTTCCTCTAATTTTCTAGGTAGCCAAACACGCAAATGGGTGAGAAAAGTAATATGTCTCTAGCTACATGGATAGAACAAAAAGGCCAACTGTAGTACCCTGCGAATTTTTAACTTTAATTGGTTTAGTGGTCTGTTTTCTAAAACCCATAAAAGACACATTATACATGCGTTTTCTCTCTCTCTCTTCTTTTCTTAGTTGGTTCTTACAAATATAGCACAATCAAACCTTTTAAGGATCGATTGTGACAAAGTTTGTGAAGGGATCATCGAGAAGAATCTTTGTAAGTTGTACAAATATATATATATATATATATATGACTTGGTCAAGTATTGAGATACAAATATAGATATAGTACTTCATTTGATGTCGTTTTCGTCCAATAAATAATTGACCAATTCTTTTAATTGGGATACCCTTTGAAAGTAGAAAGTCGTATGAATTTAATCAAATGGATGCATGTCTAAATATAGCTAGTGCTTTAACTAGGCTGACTCGTTAGGATCAATCTTATTCCGCATTAGGTTTATTCAGAAAACTAGTATTTTTTTTTTCCTTTCCTACGTATCAGTTTTCTTTAGCTAGAAATCTTCATTTTAACTTGAAAACTAAGCGCTTGTTTTTTTTTAACAACTTAAACTATTCCTTAGAATTTAAACTTTAGTTCAGGATTTAAATTAGTGTTTGGAGAGGAAAATTCAAGGACAATTCAAACCATTAACAATAGTTTAATGACAACTCAAATTGTTGATTTTAGAATTCACCCCCCCCCTCTAAATTCTAACAATTCAAATTGTTATCAACAGTCTAATAGTTATAGATTTTACTTTTTCTCTCTCTTCAATTTTAATCTTTAAAATGTCATAACTTTTCATTTTAATTCTTATTGAGATGATTTTTTTCTAATGTGTTCATAATGAAGAGAGGAACAAATCCCTATACTGATATTAAATATTTTTAAGTGTCATTTATAATAAGGTTTTATAAGATTTGTTATAAAATTCTAATGATAGTTTTTAACACTTTATCCTAATACAGTTCGGATTTTATTCCTAATTCAAATTACAATTTATTTACATATCTAAACAACATTTCGGATCACAATTTAAAAAATCACAATTCAAATTCTACAGTTTTAATAAAAAATGTTCATATTTCTACAATTTGAGTTGTTGAACCAAACAAGCTCTAAAATATTTAAAAAATAGCACACAATAAATCTCAATTGCTGTTGAAAAATCTTACGACTTAAAATTGAAATCTACAGTGCAATATTTCAATTGATTCTTTCTTTCTTTCATATTTATATATATATGTATTTATGCATATGTATGTATGTATATATAATCCATGCATGTTGTGTTTGTGTTTCTTGAAAATCCCAACTATAATGTTGACCTGCGTGCAGCGCAGCGAAATAATGCGACTGCAGGTCCTACATCACAAGCGATATTTATAATGTATAGGAGTCTTGGTTTTATATTTATATATCTATATAATCTCTATGTAGGATCCTTAAAGTGGAAGTGCACTTGTTTCTTTTTCTTTTTTTTTTCTTGGAAATTATGTCCACAGTTATTGTAATCCGAAGAAATTATGCATTCTTAGCAAACGATATGTAGAGATCTTTCTTTTTTAAACAACAATATTCAATAATATTTTTTTTAGAGATCAGAAAACCGTGGGAAGGAACCGGGGAGGTGTGATTTTTGGACAGAAGGAAACGTCACTCGTGATACAAGATATTTTTATTTTACCTTATTTTATTTTGCTAAATAAAAAAAAAAATTATAAAGCAAATTAAATTTGTTTATTCGTATCATAAACTGCCACAACTACGCTATATACACACGCACGGCTATATATTATATGCGATATTATATGTGTCACATTCAAGAAGGGAAATATATATATATATATATAAGCTTTCTCTTTATGTAATGTTCTCTTCTTTTTTGAGCTTTTAAAAATCGTTTTCTTCAGCCGCTTTTGGAACAGTGTTTTCCCCCATATGATCAATTGAACCTACCTAGCTATTGGTATTATAAAATCCGACAGAATATTTTCGACTTTTAAGGGCCAATCTAATCTAGTTGATATTGTTAAGCTTCTGATATCCCGGCCCCTACGCCTAATATTAGTAACTTTTCTATCTAGCTAATAATAAGGATCTAGTGCCTTTGGACAATTTAGACCACTCAATTTTTTTAATCATGTCATAATTTACATAAATCGTATCCTCTTTTCGAAAAAGGAGATAAGAAGATGTTTATATATATATATATATGTTTCTTTTTAATCTGCAATGATTATTGCCATCTTTTGTTCACCATACGTATCATTTGCATTTTTATCCTTTCTGCCAATCTCATTAAAACTACCGTTTTAGCTGCAGAATAAGAGCCCCAATGAATATGTACGAATTTATATATGCACACCATGTAGAGAAATATTAGAATAGATCATCAGTTCAAATTTCTAAAATAGTGTCTAATACGTCATGATAATTGATAATACTGAATATGTGATATAATTACAGTTTTAGAGCTGGATATATAATAATAATTCCGGAAACATATCAACGTACATATACAAAATTGTATAATTGCTCCTGATATATATTTTATGGGGTACAAATATAGTACGTATTCAGTGCGTAATTTAAATTTAATTTTTTTGTTACATATTTTTCTCATATGTGAGTAAAGTAACATGATTATCAAATATATAGTACTGTTTGGTTAAAAAAAAAGGGAAAATTTTAAACCGCCGGTTTTTCCCTGAATAATTAGCTATATATAGGTGAATCTCATGAAAAGGGTATCTGACTCTACACAGAAGTCAGAATCATGTATAGTATTGAACCTAAATATCATACACACACACACACACACACACATATATATATATATATATATATATATAAATGATTTTTCAAATATCAAAATTCAAACCTACAAAGAATGCTCTTACAACCAATATGTACATGTGTATAAAAATTCAACATCAAAATATGGCTGATCAATGAGTACCCTTTGATGAGTACTGCAAAAGAATTAGGTTATCAGTAACACTGACAAATTAATCTCAAACCTAAACTATTTCACCTGCATTTAAACTGAAATAATCAAAGACCAATATTACTCATCCGTAGAACGCTGCCTACAAAGAATAGTACTCCTCTAGTCTCAAACAGGAATTTCCATAGCGGTAAACAAAATTTGATAATTGGTCGGTCGACTTTACATGAACTTGTCCATAATATGTCGGACTTTAGCTCTATCAATTATTGGTTGCAATTGTTCGTTCCAAAGATACTGATTGACAGAAAAAATCATATACATGTACCTATAAATACACACAAATATATGTATAATTATTGTACATTAATATGTTTGTTTTGTTAGGAAATTCAAGCTAAAACCTAAATAAACTATGAGAATGAAAAATAATGAACGGAGAATAAAAGTACAAATCAGACCAAGAACTTTATATAGGTTCACTAATTTGGCTACGTTCTATTTATGCCGCCGCAGATTTCACTAATACTATTGAAGAAATTCGATACAAAAAATCACTCATCACTCTCTTGTGTTTCTCTCAAACTCAAAAGTGTTTTCTATCCCTCACACTCCTATTTCTCTATGAAAAGTCATCCCAATAAAACATCACTAGGTATTTATAGAGTCTAAGAAAAGCCCCAAAAAAGAAACCTAAAACAACTTAAATTGACTCTTGATCGCGCTCCGGCGCTAAAGCGCCCAACGAAATATCAAAAATCACGCGCGCCTATATGGTGTTGGGCTCCACTTCTTTAACATGTTTTACCTAGATCTTTTTTTCCCCCTTTTGATTATTCACATATGTTTTTCATCATCATTGATGCACATTATATGCTCTTTTATATATATCCATTATAAAATGAAGATGTTATCTTTGTAAGGGGTATATATATGTGTGTGTGTGTGTATGGATGCATGAAGGACAAGGCGATTTGGTGGTTGTCACGTGTAAATAGGGCCTCCCCTAGTGGCAAACCACACGATTTTCTGGCCATGGCCTGTTGCTTTCTTTGTACCTCGTAGGTACTAATATATATACTAAGAAAATTAGTTTGGTTGCTCTACTTATACAAGGTCTTTTTCTTCCAAATCAACCATTTGCAACTATTTTCTCCGTTCTCACTTCTCAAAAAGACAATAGAAACATTATCCATAGGATTCCAAATGAAAAATATTTGATCATCTACAAAATGTTAATCTATGCGTATATACATATACATAAATGCATCCAAATCAAATTACTATGCTTTCCTATGTTAGGAAGCTGTAGAGGCCGTGTGTGTGTGTGTAGATGATTCATGTACGTACACAATCGATCTTTAGCCAAAAGGATGATATATATATATATATATATATATATATATATGGATATGGTTTCACATGATTTCACATCTACATTAGCTAGACCTCTTTCATAGCTTATACTATTGGGTGAATAAGAGAACATGGCTAATTTGAATTCAAACCCTTTTCTGTACGGACAACACATTCCTGAAAATCATGACCTTAACCTTCGGCACAATTTTTGCCTTTGTCTGGGAACTTTAAGTACTATAGCTACCTTATAAGACGAAAACTAGTTTTTAATTGGTAATTGAACATAAAGAAAAGATATATATCAAATTGATCATCCAACTTTTATAATAACTTATAATTAGGCAAAAAGTGGTGCTTCCGCAACCCCAACAAAAAGATATGTCTGTGATCTTATCCTTCTGAGATTTGATCCAGATAGTACTACTGGCTGAATAAGAACAGGAGGCCAAAAAAAAAAAAAAGCAAATAAATTACATTGTAGAATTTCTTGCCTTTAAAAGTGAAATGCTATTATGTTGTTTCTGATCATTAATGAGGGATATATACATATATACACACACGAAAGATGTATATATTATAATATTATGATTCCGACAGCATTATTGGTTGAGCATCAAGTATAAAGCACAAGATATAAATATTTTTGTTGGGCGCAGATCTAAGCAGCATACCGTATATTTAATGAGGGAATGTATATGTTCACAGTCACAAAAACTCTTTTATGAGTTAAAAAAAAAAAAAAAAAAAACTCAGACCACAAAAATTATGCTAATTTATCTCTCAATCCGATCCTAGCTCGAGCTTCATACAGACTCTAGAAATGGGACGAAGCACTAGCTTTTCAATTGTAAATACAAAGAAGAAGATTAATTATAATATATGACCGATCCAATTCGAATTGGAAAAACCAACAAAAGCCGATCATCTCTCTCTCTTATATATAAGTAGTACTCTCTTTCCAAAAGAGGAAAAATCAAAAGGCTTTATAACTAGAAAGACAAATTTAATTCTCAGTTCTCACATGACGATCGACGCATATATACAAACTAGTACACACACACACACACACACACACACATATATATATATATATGACATATATGTATGTTAGCGCAGCGAATGAAAGAAAAGCAAAATCTTCTTTGCACGTGTAGTTGTCTACTTTTTTTACACGTACGGTTCGACACAAATTTTTCAGCAGCAAAGACGAGTTGGCAATAACCCAAAAAACAATTCCGAAAAAGAAAAAAAAGAAAAAAAACCAAGAAAAAATCACACACCAGAAGCAAAAGAAGTACCTGAATTCACATACCGTACTTTCTTTTCTCCTCATCACTTTCATATTGCTTTGAATACCATTATTTGATGAATATTAACCATGACACTTTGAATTTTTAAGTATAGCTCCAAAGGCATTCTCCATCTGAATTCCCCGGCGAGTCGTCCGAAGACGGCGTATTAATCCGCGGCGGGCTTACGAGCATTCCCTCCGCCATGTTCACCAGAAAATTCGGCATATTAAGAATCGCTTCCTCGTCAATAAACTCCCCTCCGGCAGTCTCCGGCGTACTAATTTCCTCATTCACCGGCCAATCCTCCGGCTGTTTCGAATCCGATCCCTCCGGCTTCAGCTGGCTCGGCTCGGCTTCCGCTCTT